GTCACAGAGGGGCAGGACACACCACCAGTGTCACAGAGGGGCAGGACACATGCGTGTCACAGAGGGGCAGAACCATTGCAGTGTCACAGAGGGGCAGGACACACTGCAGTGTCACAGAGGGGCAGGACACACACAGTGCACAGGGCAGGACACATTGCCAGTGTCACAGAGGGGCAGGACACACCACCAGTGTCACAGAGGGGCAGGACACACTGCAGTGTCACAGGGGCAGGACACACTGCAGTGTCCAGGGGCAGGACACACCACCAGTGTCACAGAGGGGCAGGATACCACCAGTGTCACAGAGGGGCAGGACACATAGCCAGTGTACAGAGGGGCAGGAACACTGCCAGTGTCACAGAGGGGCAGGACACACTGCCAGGGTCACAGAGGGCAGGACACACTGCAGTGTCACAGAGGGCAGAATACTACCAGTGTCACAGAGGGGCAGGACACATGCCAGTGTCACAGAGGGCAGGACACACTGCCAGTGTCACAGAGGGCAGGACATACTACCAGTGTCACAGAGGGCAGACACACTGCCAGTGTCACAGAGGGGCAGGACACACTGCCAGTGTCACAGAGGGCAGGACACACGCAGTGTCACAGAGGGGCAGGACATACTACAGTGTCACAGAGGGGCAGGACACACTGCCAGTGTCACAGAGGGGCAGGACACACTGCCAGTGTCACAGAGGGCAGGACACACTGCCAGTGTCACAGAGGGCAGGACACACTGCCATGTCACAGAGGGCGACACACTGCAGTGTCACAGAGGGCAGGACACACTGCCAGTGTCACAGAGGGGCAGGACACACCGCCATGTCACAGAGGGCAGACACACCACCAGTGTCACAGGGGGCAGGACACATTGCCAGTGTCACAGAGGGGCAGGACACACTGCCAGTGTCACAGAGGGGCAGGACACACTGCCAGTGTCACAGAGGGCAGGACACACTGCCAGTGTCACAGAGGGCAGACACACCACCAGTGTCACGAGGGGCAGGACACACTGCAGTGTCACAGAGGGGCAGGACACACTGCCAGTGTCACAGAGGGGCAGGACACACTGCCAGTGTCACAGAGGGCAGGACACATGCCAGTGTCACAGAGGGCAGGACACACCACAGTGTCACAGAGGGGCAGGACACACTGCCAGTGTCACAGAGGGCAGGACACACTGCCAGTGTCACAGAGGGGCAGACACACCACCAGTGTCACAGAGGGCAGGACACATTGCCAGTGTCACAGAGGGCGGGACACACCACAGTGTCACAGAGGGGCAGGACACACTGCCAGTGTCACAGAGGGGCAGACACATGCCAGTGTCACAGAGGGGCAGGACACACCACCAGTGTCACAGAGGGGCAGACACACTGCCAGTGTCACATAGGGGCAGGACACATTGCCAGTGTCACAGAGGGGCAGGACACATGCCATGTCACAGAGGGGCAGGACACACCACAGTGTCACAGAGGGGCAGGACACATTGCCAGTGTCACAGAGGGGCAGAACACACCACGGTGTCACAGAGGGGCAGGACACACTGCCAGTGTCACAGAGGGGCAGGACACACTGCAGTGTCACAGAGGGCAGGACACACTGCCAGTGTCGCAGAGGGGCAGGACACACTGCCAGTGTCACAGAGGGGCAGGACACACCACCAGTGTCACAGAGGGGCAGGACACACTGCCAGTGTCACAGAGGGGCAGGACACACCACCAGTGTCACAGAGGGCAGGACACACTGCAAGTGTCACAGAGGGGCAGAACACATTGCAGTGTCACAGAGGGGCAGGACACACCACCAGTGTCACAGAGGGGCAGACACACCCAGTGTCACAGAGGGGCAGGACACATTGCCAGTGTCACAGAGGGGCAGGACACACCACCAGTGTCACAGAGGGGCAGGACACACTGCCAGTGTCACAGAGGGGCAGGACACACTGCCAGTGTCACAGAGGGGCAGGACACACCACCAGTGTCACAGAGGGGCAGGATACACCACCAGTGTCACAGAGGGGCAGGACACATAGCCAGTGTCACAGAGGGGCAGGACACACTGCCAGTGTCACAGAGGGGCAGGACACACTGCCAGTGTCACAGAGGGGCAGGACACACTGCCAGTGTCACAGAGGGGCAGGACATACTACCAGTGTCACAGAGGGGCAGGACACACTGCCAGTGTCACAGAGGGGCAGGACACACTGCCAGTGTCACAGAGGGGCAGGACACACTGCCAGTGTCACAGAGGGGCAGGACACACTGCCAGTGTCACAGAGGGGCAGGACACACCGCCAGTGTCACAGAGGGGCAGGACACACCACCAGTGTCACAGAGGGGCAGGACACATTGCCAGTGTCACAGAGGGGCAGGACACACTGCCAGTGTCACAGAGGGGCAGGACACACTGCCAGTGTCACAGAGGGGCAGGACACACTGCCAGTGTCACAGAGGGGCAGGACACACCACCAGTGTCACAGAGGGGCAGGACACACTGCCAGTGTCACAGAGGGGCAGGACACACTGCCAGTGTCACAGAGGGGCAGGACACACTGCCAGTGTCACAGAGGGGCAGGACACATTGCCAGTGTCACAGAGGGGCAGGACACACTGCCAGTGTCACAGAGGGGCAGGACACACCACCAGTGTCACAGAGGGGCAGGACACATTGCCAGTGTCACAGAGGGGCGGGACACACCACCAGTGTCACAGAGGGGCAGGACACACTGCCAGTGTCACAGAGGGGCAGGACACATTGCCAGTGTCACAGAGGGGCAGGACACACCACCAGTGTCACAGAGGGGCAGGACACACTGCCAGTGTCACATAGGGGCAGGACACATTGCCAGTGTCACAGAGGGGCAGGACACATTGCCAGTGTCACAGAGGGGCAGGACACACCACCAGTGTCACAGAGGGGCAGGACACATTGCCAGTGTCACAGAGGGGCAGAACACACCACGAGTGTCACAGAGGGGCAGGACACACTGCCAGTGTCACAGAGGGGCAGGACACACTGCCAGTGTCACAGAGGGGCAGGACACACTGCCAGTGTCGCAGAGGGGCAGGACACACTGCCAGTGTCACAGAGGGGCAGGACACACCACCAGTGTCACAGAGGGGCAGGACACACTGCCAGTGTCACAGAGGGCAGGACACACCACCAGTGTCACAGAGGGGCAGGACACACGCCAGTGTCACAGAGGGGCAGGACACACTGCCAGTGTCACAGAGGGGCAGGACACACCACCAGTGTCACAGAGGGGCAGGACACACTGCCAGTGTCACAGAAGGGCAGGACACACCACCAGTGTCACAGAGGGGCAGGACACACCACCAGTGTCACAGAGGGGCAGGACACACTGCCAGTGTCACGGAGGGGCAGGACACACCACCAGTGTCACAGAGGGGCAGGACACACCACCAGTGTCACAGAGGGGCAGGACACACTGCCAGTGTCACAGAGGGGCAGGACACATTGCCAGTGTCACAGAGGGGCAGGACACACCACCAGTGTCACAGAGGGGCAGGACACACCACCAGTGTCACAGAGGGGCAGAACACACCACCAGTGTCACAGAGGGGCAGGACACACTGCCAGTGTCACAGAGGGGCAGGACACACTGCCAGTGTCACAGAGGGGCAGGACACACCACCAGTGTCACAGAGGGGCAGGACACACTGCCAGTGTCACAGAGGGCAGGACACACTGCCAGTGTCACAGAGGGGCAGGACACACCACCAGTGTCACAGAGGGGCAGGACACACTGCCAGTGTCACAGAGGGGCAGGACACACCACCAGTGTCACAGAGGGGCAGGACACACCACCAGTGTCGCAGAGGGGCAGGACACACCACCAGTGTCACAGAGGGGCAGGACACACCACCAGTGTCACAGAGGGGCAGGACACACTGCCAGTGTCACAGAGGGGCAGGACACACCACCAGTGTCACAGAGGGGCAGGACACACTGCCAGTGTCACAGAGGGGCAGGACACACTGCCAGTGTCACAGAGGGGCAGGACACACCACCAGTATCGCAGAGGGGCAGGACACACTGCCAGTGTCACAGAGGGGCAGGACACACTGCCAGTGTCACAGAGGGGCAGGACACACCACCAGTGTCACAGAGGGGCAGGACACACCACCAGTGTCACAGAGGGGCAGAACACACTGCCAGTGTCACAGAGGGGCAGGACACACCGCCAGTCTCACAGAGGGGCAGGACACACCGCCAGTCTCACAGAAGGGCAGGACACACCGCCAGTCTCACAGAGGGGCAGGACACACCGCCAGTCTCACAGAAGGGCAGGACACACCGCCAGTCTCACAGAGGGGCAGGACACACTGCCAGTGTCACAGAGGGGCAGGACACACTGCCAGTCTCACAGAGGGGCAGGACACACCGCCAGTCTCACAGAAGGGCAGGACACACCGCCAGTCTCACAGAGGGGCAGTACACACCGCCAGTCTCACAGAGGGGCAGGACACACCGCCAGCGTCACAGAGGGGCAGGACACACTGCCAGTGTCACAGAGGGACAGGACACACTGCCAGTGTCACAGAGGGGCAGGACACACCGCCAGTGTCACAGAGAGGGGCAAGACACACCGCCAGTGTCACAGAGAGGGGCAGGACACACTACCAGTGTCACAGACAGGGGCAGGACACACTACCAGTGTCACAGAGGCAGGACACACCACCAGTATCACGGGAAGGGGGGATGGGGCAGGTCAGCCAGTCCTCTTTACCAAAATCAGAGTATAAGGGCCTAAAACTAGAAGCAGCGCCTGAGGGGAACGAGAAACAATCAAGTGCAATGCCTTGGATCAAGAGTCCCTTATCGGAATCAAGAAACCTCCCTTGAAGGAGAGAGGAATGATGGGGAGGGGGGAGAGTTCCACCAATTTGAATCTAAAGCCCTTCATTAGTATCAATGCAATACTTTGCCCAGGAAGGTGCATTATACTCAGATAACTCAAATCATTAAGTTCTTACCTTCAGGTAACTTAATTCAGTCCAGGTGGTGTTCTTCTCTAAGGCTTCGACTCTCCTCAACATGGTGGTGACAGCGGAGATCTCGTCACTGTCTGGAAGGTCAGGATGGAGCCGGTCTTGGGGACAAGGGTCTTGCTTTTCTGGTTCCATCAGCAAGTAAGTCTTGCCATCACTCGAAGTGAACTTTCCTGGAGCAAGAAAGGTCGAGGGCACAATCCCAGTAGCTATTGTCTCGGGAAAGTGCTGCGGGCAATGTTCTTTTGTAAAGATTCCTGGAGACTGTAGCACCTGATCTGTTGTTACGATACCTGGAGATGGCGGAAGATGCTCACTCCTTGGCATCCCTGGAGATGGTGGTACGTGTCCTGTTGCAAAGATCCCTGGAGACGGTGGTAAGTATCTTGTTGCAAAGGCCCCTGGAGACGGTGGTAAGTGTCCTGTTACAAAGGCCCCTGTAGACGGTGGTAAGTGTCCTGTTGCAAAGGCCCCTGGAGATGGTGGTAAGTATCTTGTTGCAAAGGCCCCTGGAGACGGTGGTAAGTGTCCTGTTGCAAAGGCCCCTGGAGACGGTGGTACGTGTCCTGTTGCAAAGGTCCCTGGAGACGGTGGTACGTGTCCTGTTGCAAAGGTCCCTGGAGACGGTGGTACGTGTCCTGTTGCAGTCTCCCCTGTAGACGGTGCAGCATGTCCTATTGTAAAAATTCCTGAAGATGGTGCTGTGAAAACTCCTGAAGATGGTGCTGTGAAAACTCCTGAAGATGGTGCTGTGAAAACTCCTGAAGATGGTGCTGTGAAAACTCCTGAAGATGGTGCTGTGAAAACTCCTGAAGATGGTGCTGCGAAAACTCCTGAAGATGGTGGTAAGAGTCTTGGTGTGAAGATTCCTGGGGATTGTGGAATTTGAGTATTTGCACAAATTTCTGAAGACGGTGGTACGTGCCTTGTTGTCAACATACCCGGAGGCTGTGGCTCTTGTCTTGGTGTGACAGTTCCTGACGACGATGATATATGTCCTGCTGTAGATAACACTGGTGATGGTAATACGTGCACAGACGTAAAAATTCGCTCGTGTTTTGGTGTGTATATCACCTGTGGAGGTAGCTGCACTGGTGTCAAACTTTCTGAAGATTGTGGCACATGTCCTGGTGTAACGATGTTAGCAGTCTGGAGGGCTTGTCCTGTAGTGACACTTCCAAAAGAATGTCCTAAAGAAGTTTCCATGTCCGCATGTCTTGAGGCAATTGTTCCACGCAGTTCAAGACTCCGTCTTCCTGAAGGTACAGTTTTTGGGGTTTCAAGCACATCTCTTGTAGTAGCTTTAGTGGATTCGGGCGTCGCCTTGTGTATAATGATCCCTGGAGGATCAAGCAAGTGGTTCCTTGTCGAAGTTCCAGAAGCAAGTCCAAGTGACAGAGTTACCTGTCCCGCTGGAATCATTCCAGATAAAACTTGACCATCTCCTGCTGGAGTAGCACATCCAGACGCTACATGTTCTCCTATGTCCGGACGAGTTATTCCAGGTGTGGGATCTTGTTCCGCAGGAACACTGATCGTAAGAGGTATTTGTCTACCAGAAACAACCATGGCAGGAGAGAGTTGTTGTGTATCAGAAACAGTCAGTGCAGGAGACAGCTCGTTTCTGACAGCAACAGCGCCTTCACTATCTTCCAAAGAGCGTTCAGTTCTTTCAAGCAGCGGGATCTCTGCTACTCTCTGGACTCTAACAATAGCACCACCACTAGCAGCACCACCACCACCACCGGCGCCACCACCACTAGCAGCAGCAGCACCACCACTAGCATCACCACCAGCATCACCACCAGCAGAGTCTTGTGTGTCCTCATCTCCTTCCACTTCTTCCTCTTTTTCGTCACTGTCATTATCTTTATTTTCATCGTCCTTTTTATCCTCTTTTCCATCACTATTCTTATCCTCTTTTCCATCACTATTCTTATCCTCTTTTCCATCATTTTTCTCACTTTTATCATCTTTCTTACCATCTTTCCCGCCACCGCTAAACTCGCCTATCTTATCCCCATTTCCCTCATCCTTTTTATTGTCTTTCTTATTCTTTTGCTTATCCTCTTTACTTTCTTGCTTCTTGTCTTTATTATCTTTCTTTCCTGTTTTACTTTCCTGTTTGTCTTTAGGTTTAGTATCGTGTTTCTTCTTCCCGTCGTTTTTCCTGCTACCGCCTCCCTTCTTACTCTTCATATTTGGCAGTGTTGATGACCTGCAATATCAACACTGCTCAGTGTTGATGACCTGCAATATCAACACTGCTCAGTGTTGATGACCTGCAATATCAACACTGCTCAGTGTTGATGACCTGCAATATCAACACTGCTCAGTGTTGATGACCTGCAATATCAACACTGCTCAGTGTTGATGACCTGCAATATCAACACTGCTCAGTGTTGATGACCTGCAATATCAACACTGCTCAGTGTTGATGACCAGCAATATCAACACTGCTCAGTGTTGATGACCTGCAATATCAACACTGCTCAGTGTTGATGACCTGCAATATCAACACTGCTCAGTGTTGATGACCTGCAATATCAACACTGCTCATTGTTGATGACCTGCAATATCAACACTGCTCAGTGTTGATGGCCTGCAATATCAACACTGCTCAGTGTTGATGGCCTGCAATATCAACACTGCTCAGTGTTGATGACCTGCAATATCAACACTGCTCAGTGTTGATGACCTGCAATATCAACACTGCTCAGTGTTGATGACCTGCAATATCAACACTGCTCAGTGTTGATGACCTGCAATATCAACACTGCTCAGTGTTGATGGCCTGCAATATCAACACTGCTCAGTGTTGATGACCTGCAATATCAACACTGCTCAGTGTTGATGACCTGCAATATCAACACTGCTCAGTGTTGATTTACCTGCAATATCAACACTGCTCAGTGTTGATGACCTGCAATATCAACACTGCTCAGTGTTGATGACCTGCAATATCAACACTGCTCAGTGTTGATGACCTGCAATATCAACACTGCTCAGTGTTGATGGCCTGCAATATCAACACTGCTCAGTGTTGATGGCCTGCAATATCAACACTGCTCATTGTTGATGACCTGCAATATCAACACTGCTCAGTGTTGATGACCTGCAATATCAACACTGCTCAGTGTTGATGGCCTGCAATATCAACACTGCTCAGTGTTGACCTGCAATATCAACACTGCTCAGTGTTGCTGACCTGCAATATCAACACTGCTCAGTGTTGCTGACCTGCAATATCAACACTGCTCAGTGTTGATGGCCTGCAATATCAACACTGCTCAGTGTTGATGACCTGCAATATCAACACTGCTCAGTATTGATGACCTGCAATATCAACACTGCTCAGTGTTGCTGACCTGCAATATCAACACTGCTCAGTGTTGATGGCCTGCAATATCAACACTGCTCAGTGTTGATGGCCTGCAATATCAACACTGCTCAGTGTTGATGACCTGCAATATCAACACTGCTCAGTATTGATGACCTGCAATATCAACACTGCTCAGTATTGATGACCTGCAATATCAACACTGCTCAGTATTGATGACCTGCAATATCAACACTGCTCAGTATTGATGACCTGCAATATCAACACTGCTCAGTGTTGATGACCTGCAATATCAACACTGCTCATTGTTGCTGACCTGCAATATCAACACTGCTCAGTGTTGATGACCTGCAATATCAACACTGCTCAGTGTTGCTGACCTGCAATATCAACACTGCTCAGTGTTGATGACCTGCAATATCAACACTGCTCAGTGTTGCTGACCTGCAATATCAACACTGCTCAGTGTTGCTGACCTGCAATATCAACACTGCTCAGTGTTGATGACCTGCAATATCAACACTGCTCATTGTTGATGGCCTGCAATATCAACACTGCTCAGTATTGATGACCTGCAATATCAACACTGCTCAGTGTTGATGACCTGCAATATCAACACTGCTCAGTGTTGATGACCTGCAATATCAACACTGCTCAGTATTGATGACCTGCAATATCAACACTGCTCAGTGTTGATGACCTGCAATATCAACACTGCTCAGTGTTGATGACCTGCAATATCAACACTGCTCATTGTTGATGGCCTGCAATATCAACACTGCTCAGTGTTGATGGCCTGCAATATCAACACTGCTCATTGTTGATGGCCTGCAATATCAACACTGCTCAGTATTGATGACCTGCAATATCAACACTGCTCAGTGTTGATGACCTGCAATATCAACACTGCTCAGTGTTGATGACCTGCAATATCAACACTGCTCAGTATTGATGACCTGCAATATCAACACTGCTCAGTGTTGATGACCTGCAATATCAACACTGCTCAGTGTTGATGACCTGCAATATCAACACTGCTCAGTGTTGATGACCTGCAATATCAACACTGCTCAGTGTTGATGACCTGCAATATCAACACTGCTCAGTGTTGATGGCCTGCAATATCAACACTGCTCAGTGTTGACCTGCAATATCAACACTGCTCATTGTTGATGACCTGCAATATCAACACTGCTCAGTGTTGATGGCCTGCAATATCAACACTGCTCATTGTTGATGACCTGCAATATCAACACTGCTCATTGTTGATGACCTGCAATATCAACACTGCTCATTGTTGATGACCTGCAATATCAACACTGCTCAGTGTTGATGGCCTGCAATATCAACACTGCTCATTGTTGATGACCTGCAATATCAACACTGCTCATTGTTGATGACCTGCAATATCAACACTGCTCAGTGTTGATGACCTGCAATATCAACACTGCTCATTGTTGATGGCCTGCAATATCAACACTGCTCAGTGTTGATGACCTGCAATATCAACACTGCTCAGTGTTGATGACCTGCAATATCAACACTGCTCAGTGTTGATGACCTGCAATATCAACACTGCTCAGTGTTGATGACCTGCAATATCAACACTGCTCAGTGTTGATGACCTGCAATATCAACACTGCTCAGTGTTGATGACCTGCAATATCAACATTGCTCATTGTTGATGGCCTGCAATATCAACACTGCTCAGTGTTGATGACCTGCAATATCAACACTGCTCAGTATTGATGACCTGCAATATCAACACTGCTCATTGTTGCTGACCTGCAATATCAACACTGCTCAGTGTTGATGACCTGCAATATCAACACTGCTCAGTGTTGATGACCTGCAATATCAACACTGCTCAGTGTTGATGACCTGCAATATCAACACTGCTCAGTGTTGATGACCTGCAATATCAACACTGCTCAGTGTTGATGACCTGCAATATCAACACTGCTCAGTGTTGATGACCTGCAATATCAACACTGCTCAGTATTGATGGCCTGCAATATCAACACTGCTCAGTATTGATGACCTGCAATATCAACACTGAATACTAATACCCCCACCAGGAATCACACTGGTGGCCCATCATCAATACCTGCTCTGAACCTTCCTCAACACCTGTTCTGAACCTTCAAGATCTGCTCCGAACCCTCAACACCTGCTCTGAACCTTCAACACCTGCTCTGAACCTTCCTCAACACCTGCTCTGAACATTCCTCAACACCTGCTCTGAACCTTCCTCAACACCTGCTCTGAACCCTCTTCAACACCTGCTCTGAACCTTCCTCAACACCTGCTCTGAACCTTCAACATCTGCTCCGAACCCTCAACACCTGCTCTGAACCTTCCTCAACACCTGCTCTGAACCTTCCTCAACACCTGCTCTGAACCTTCCTCAACACCTGCTCTGAACCTTCCTCAACACCTGCTCTGAACCTTCCTCAACACCTTCTCTAAGGGTGAGTTTGGAGTCTATCTACTACACAAGTGTCATTCAGACTGCACTTGTTCACAATCAGTCAATAATACTTTAATACCTAAAATAATGATTAATATAAACTCTCACTGTATATACCGAGAAATACATATCTCTCAGGCTTATACTGAGGAATAATATTAACACAAATAAAATAATAATATAATCTAAAATGAATACTATTCTGGTGTGAACAATACACAACCACGTATATAGTGTGATGACTCAGTCACGTGATGACTCAGTGGCACTCTTAATCACATGACTGAGGTCTTCCACTACCTCCCTCCTGATTGGTTGTTTAATAAGACTTAAAGTCTATCTACTACACGATACACAAATAACCCGCACACAGGAGGAGCTTACGACGACGTTTCGGCCCGACTTGGACCATTTACAAAGTCGAACATCAAAATGGTATACAATACCGACAGGTTGGTAGGTAAGACACATAGGCAACAGTTAGGCAACTTTATTCCGAAACGTTTCGCCTACACAGTAGGCTTCTTCAGTCGAATACAGAAAGTAGGCAGGAACAGTAGAGACGATGTAATCAGTCCATCACCCTTGAAGTCGTAGAATTTGAGGTTGTCAGTCCCTCAGCCTGGATAAGTTCAGTTCCATAGTCAGGAAATATAGTTCCATAGTCAGGAACTATAGTTCCATAGGCAGGAACTATAGTTCCATAGTCAGGAACTATAGTTCCATAGTCAGGAACTATAGTTCCATAGTCAGGAACTATAGTTCCATAGTCAGGAACTATAGTTCCATAGTCAGGAACTATAGTTCCATAGTCAGGAACTATAGTTCCATAGTCAGGAACTATAGTTCCATAGTCAGGAACTATAGTTCCATAGTCAGGAACTATAGTTCCATAGTCAGGAACTATAGTTCCATAGTCAGGAACTATAGTTCCATAGTCAGGAACTATAGTTCCATAGTCAGGAACTATAGTTCCATAGTCAGGAACTATAGTTCCATAGTCAGGAACTATAGTTCCATAGTCAGGAACTATAGTTCCATAGTCAGGAACTATAGTTCCATAGTCAGGAACTATAGTTCCATAGTCAGGAACTATAGTTCCATAGTCAGGAACTATAGTTCCATAGTCAGGAACTATAGTTCCATAGTCAGGATAGTTCCTGACTATGGAACTGAACTTCTCCAGGCTGAGGGACTGACAACCTCAAATTCTACGACTTCAAGGGTGATGGACTGATTACATCGTCTCTACTGTTCCTGCCTACTTTCTGTATTCGACTGAAGAAGCCTACTGTGTAGGCGAAACGTTTCGGAATAAAGTTGCCTAACTGTTGCCTATGTGTCTTACCTACCATTTACAAAGTCACACAAATGGTCCAAGTTGGACCGAAACGTCGTGGTAAG